ATGAAAATCAATCAGAATGTATTAGATGCATTTAAGTAAAATCTGAGTTCACTAAAGTTCTTCCTCAATTTACACAATCCCTAAATTTTCCCATGCTTGCAGATAGAGTTTCATTTTCTATCTTTTGGAGTGACGAGGAAAACCCCCAGCCACTACTCAAGGATGTGCACTGGGTAAACCCCACCTTGTGACCCTAGCCGGCAAAGGACCACAAGAAGGTAAACCAGCCTAGGTTGCCCATAGCTGACCGACTCAAACCAAGAGGACTAGGATTCGAACTCGTAACCTTGTGGTTACAAATTGTATCCTTAGCCATCTTGGGCGGGGTTACCCCGTTCCATTTTCTATGTTCTGTAATGGTTTGCATGCCTCCCTAAAACCTCATAAAATGACAAAACTATATTATACAACAGTTTGACTAACATTTGCTCTTACAAATGCAAGCAAAGTGTGTTGGTCCCAGAAAGAATAAATATGCCTACTGTTCCCCTCTTATAAAAAATAAAAACTATAAACAGAATACTGAAATTTAATATATAAATCAGTACTATACCAAATGTATAATTGATATGCCCACGATTTCGGCAGGAACGAGTAACAGCAGACGGTCTAAAACTGTAAAGAACCGTATCTTGACTCCTTTTTCGTTTCAGAGCCCTGTCTTTCTTCTGTTGAAAAGAACTTTAGATGTATTAAGTACAGTACAAAGACCTTATACTAAATTCCATGCATTTTATGAAACAAAACAAAGTCATATATGTGCATCTGCAATTGAATCACTGGTATTGACCTTTTGTATTTTCTCAAGCACAGGAATGACATCAGCTTGAACAGCCTTACCCACAGCATTTTCCCATTTAACTTCACTGTATGAAACATTATCCTGACAGTGATGACAAAAAAACGTGAGGCAATGAACAGTTAAGTGCTTGAAAGTGAACAGAAAATGTATTCTTAGTTCTTACCACAAAGGTACGGAATTCTTCAAGATTAGTTGCAAGCGTCTCCCATCGAGAACCAATTGCTAGTCCATTTTCCATCCCCCTAACTTTTGGTTTAGACTCAATTAGAATCTCCTTATATAATCTATGACCAATAATCTCATTTCCATCATACCTGATACAGAAAAGAACAGCCATCAAAATTGAATTTATGGTTTTATGCATCTTCAAAATACAATAAAGGAGAAACTTACCAATAGGAAATTCCAACTCCATCTCCGCCAAGCTTATCTTTCCGAAAAGTTGATAGAGCAGTTCCATTTTTTATTGAATCATTAATGTAAGACAAAACATCACCTTGCTGTAAAGAAAACAATTTGTTATGGGCAGCAAAACACAAATGAACAGATAAAGATAAGGTTCACAAAGTCCTCAATGATGACTTTCTGAGTTCAATATTTTTAAAACTCTGCGAAATCAGTTGTTTTTCCAATGCATACCAAGACAGGCAACAAATAAAGGAGTAAAGACAGAAAGGGGGTAGTGTAATACATCAGCTCGAATTTCACAAAGTGCTTTAAGAAGAAGTAAGCGAATTATTGGATTGACTGCCTTGTATGTGCATATTTCCTCTCTGAAAGAAACAATGACGTCAAAAGACTAATATAACATCCACTGAGATAAATGGTGGATAGACAGTAAGATTGTTACAGAGAGAGAGTACCCTTTGGCTGGACTAAGAGGAAAATCCCCTTCTGCTACCTGCAATAGAGTACCATGGATTACAATAGTATACTTAGATATGCAGGAAACATGTAACAACCAGACCTGGAATGGCTTACCCATGGCCACCAAACTATGAGTTTCTTACATAGTACAGTCACCCAACCATCAGACTGTTTCAGTAGTTTGCTAATAGGGGGTATTCCCTGTACACACATAACTCACATTACACAAGAGTAAAAGGCAATATTCAAGCATACAAATTTGCAATTCATAGTGTACGTATTGCAACAAATAATTTCTCTTAAGATTAAAAGCATTTAACAAGCTCAATTTTCATAACTTCTGCACCTATAACCTAGAAATGTATGCCTAATATTGCCTATGCATTTGCAGTTACTACATATCTTGACCTGTACCTAATAACATAGTCAGCTTGCAGCATGAAAGATCTTACCCAGCTACAAAATCACTACAAAGTTATGACAATATATTTCTAATCTATCTAAAACATCTATTAAATATTTGATAAAAGTATTGTTGCCTTCCTGCATCATATTCATGTCCCCAGACCGCATCATATTGCACTATCTAGATTCTATATCTTTTTTTTTTTTTAAATGAAACTTAAACTAAAAACAGAGGTAAGGTCAGAAGCATCTTCCTTCCTCCAAAACAATGAATAAAATGGGAGCCTTGTTCACTAAATGCAGTCTTGTCTTTTGGCAGTAAAACAAAAATTTTCATAAAGATGAAGAGTGAACTAATAAGTATACATGCATATCCATGCACTTAAAAGTGTTAGTAAATAAACAGAGGAAGAAGAATTTTATATCCACCACCACAGAACATAACTTCCTAATGGAAGGACCATGGAGTTTGTTCTCCTTAAAACTTTAGGTACAGTTTATCTCAATCTTCTTTCCAGTTATCAGCTCTAGAGACTAGAGGAGTATAATTAAGCAGCTGTAACAAGAGTTAAATAATTCCTACTCATTCAAGCCTAGTTTATACAGTGGTCATGTTCAATTCCAACTTTCCATTGGTTTTATAATCATTTGGTGCCTAATAATCAACTGATAACTGATTTTCTACAATTCAGAAATAACACCTGAGAAGAAATTTTAAAGTAGGGAAATGCATGTTTCTCTCTTGGACAAGTGCTACAATGATTCTCCAATATCACTCCTTCACCATATAGCATTGTGCTTTTAGTTATAGTAAAGCTTCAATAGCATATTATTAACAGTACAAAACAATCACATGATACTAAAAACAAACTTGAAATAAAGCAAAGAATAGTAAAGTAAATACTACTTTTAAGTGAACTGTGTATCAAAGTTAATACATTAGTGATTCAGTGATTGAATGATTCCTCAAGCGGTTCTTTTTTTAATGCAAAGATAAATCCAATATTATATATAATTACTCTGCCTAAACCAGAAGGAACCACCTGCATACTATTATAGAACTATCCTATCTGACTTTTAACATGCGCCTCCTTTGGCTATAAAATCACAACTTATAAAATACTGCCTTACGGGCTATTCATGTATACTACATAATAGAGTAAATGCTGAAAATAATAAGAGAATGATGCATATAAACAAAAGCAACCATGATGTACAGGCACCCTACCTTCAGAAGTGCAACATGAAGCTGAGCAAGTGACCTATTTGGCTCAATAAGTCCTGTCTCTATTTCTTCAGCTGAAATTTTAAAATCGATCCCAAGAACTGGCTCAAAAACCTATCAATAACCCGCGAACGTTCAATTTACTATGCAAGATACTTAATCAATACATCAGCAAGATCACAAAAACGCTATTCTATTCATACCCACAAATATAAAGTGTATACCCAGTTATGTACCCATTGCATGTTCTAAGTTGTAAATGTAAGAGTATATTAGATCAAAAGTTTTAAAGGAAAATTTGATTTTTGGATGAAAAAAGACCGAATTTTTAGAAAAGATTAGAGCTTACGTTGAGAAAGTTGAGAATGGAAGCTAACTCCCAGCGTTGGCGGAGTTGAAGCCGAGCGAGTTCAGAATCCGTTGCAGGTGAATCCGAAATAACCTCAGGGTGGTCTTCATTTCCATTTCCGGAAGCAACAGTCGGTCGCCGGCCTCTGTCCACCATTGTTCCAAAGAGAAAAAAGTGCGATTATAGCGAGAGAGAGAGAGAGAGAGGGAGATAAATCGATTTGAGAATTGAGAGTGCAGAGAAAGAATGAAGATTGGTGGGAGTTCGAATTTGGGGTTACATTGCTTTGTACCCTTCCCGCCAAAACTATTTTCACTGTATTGCTGCCTTAGTTGTGGTTAATTTCCTAGCCCCTAGGGTAACCCTACTGCTGGAATTTCAATGAACTAGTACCTCGTACACCGCGATTTTTAAAATACAGAATATTATTTAACGAGTCTTACAACGATTCTTACTTTTTCAAATTTACTTTGATGGTAAATTATACCGTGTATTGTGATACATAATTCTCATTATGCATGGAGCTTTTAAATGACATTGTTTTATTTAATGAAAATTAAAAAGAAATGGTACTGTTTTGTGTCGGTTCGCGCCGTTTCGTAAAAAGTAACTCTATTATTCAGCTTCATTTTATATACACTGTAGTTTCATTTTGATATAACTACAATTTTATTTCAATATAACTACAGTTTCATTCGATATTATAACACTCAAATATGTGAAAATGTTATTTAATTTTATTTTTTATACACCATAGTTTCATTAAAACACAACTGCATGATCATTTCGATATAAATACAGCTTCATTGTACAACATACACTCAAATATGTGAAATGTTATTCAGTTTCATTTTATATACACTGTAGTTTCATTTCAACATAACTACAATATTATTTTGATATAACTACAGTTTCGCTGGGCAATATACACTCAAATATGTGAAATTATTATTCAATTTCATTTGTATACACTGCAGTGTCATTTCAACACAACTACCGTTTCATTTCATTTCAATTGCAGTTTCACTTGATAATATAAAAATATATAATACGTGAGGCAGTGTCAGTTTAATTAGATACACTGTAATTTCAGTTGATAATTAATACACCAAACACGCACGCTCTGTTAACTGTAACGGCTCGCCGTTTCTTTACTTAAAGAAACGGCACCGTTTTTGGACCGCGGTGCACAATTACAGTATAATTGCTGCTTTTTGATGTAGCAGGCATTGGTGGCTTTTTTTTTTTTTTTATGTGGACCCTTGTAAAAGTGTCTACATCTAAATTTTTAAATGTGGGGTAAAAGTTGAGAGTAGAATGAGAATACATATAGTATTTTTCTTATTTAACCCTTAGGGGGCATTCAAGTCGTCCGGAAGCCACGGATCCCCCCACACTCTAATTGATTCTCCGTTTCCCACTCTCCACCTCACCCCCTTTCCCACCATCGTTTGTGATTCCCAAATGCTGGACCACACAAAAGATGGATTAGACCCCCTCTTCGCCTCAAGGAAGGAACATTTTGGAAAGTACCTCGCTTTAAACACCCTTGTAACCAAAGCATCGGGCTTAGTAAGAAAATTCCATCCCTGCTTTCCCAACATAGCTAGATTCATCTCCCTAACTCTCCTGAACCCCATCCCCCCAAACTTTTTTGGCACACACAAGTCACTCCACTTACTCCACCTAATTCCCCCTCTTTCCCTTCTCTCGCAACCCCACCAAAAAGAATTCATAGTCTTTTCTATTTCATCACACAGGCTCAGAGGAAGCAAAAAAACATTCATAGCATAATTTGGGAGGCTTTGGAGGACTGTTTTCAACAAGACCTCCCGTCCCCCTCTAGACAGAAAACGATTGCCCCATTGCATCACCCGAGCTCTGACCCTATCCCGAACAAACCCCAGAATTTCTCTCTTCTTCCTACCAACATACCCTGGCAACCCCAGATATTTACCTTGCCCCTGCTGTTCGTGAATGCCCAACTCCTCACAAACAGCCTCCTTATCCTCCCTATGAATATTCCGCCCAAACACAATGGAAGACTTCCCCAAATTTACTTCTTGACCACTCGCAGCTCCATACTCCTTCAAAACCCCATTAAGAACCCCTGCCTCAAAGTTATTTGCTCTGAAGAAAAAAAGACAGTCATAGGCGAAAAAAAGATGGGATATAACCGGAGCTACTCTTGCCACCCTCATTCCATTAAGAACTCCCTCCTCCTCCCTAGCCCTCAACATAGCACTCAGACATTCTGCAACGAGAATAAAAAGACACGGAGATAACGGATCCCCCTGCCTTAAACCCCTTCCCGGCTCCACCGGCCCCCACTCCTTCCCTTCCACCAGGATCGAGTATCTCACCGTAGTAACACATTCCCTCATCAACCTCACCCAATGCTCACTAAAACCCATCTTCTCCAGAATCTTTCCCAGGAAACCCCACTCAACTCGATCATATGCCTTACTCATGTCTATCTTGAACCCGTGTATTGAAACTCCAATAGTACACTATTTAGAGAATCCTAAGGTCAAATCCCTTATGTGTGTCAACGATAGCCAATGGGATTTGGGAGTGGTGAGGGATATTTTTTGTGACCGGGATGTGGAAAAGATTATGAGTGTGCCTATTCCATCCGCGGGGGTTCGGGACTCTATGTATTGGTATAAGGAGATGAATGGAAGCTATTCAGTTAGAAGTGGGTATAGGATTGCTACTGGCGAGATGGGGGGGGGGGTGTTGAGGTGGTATGGAGGGGACTATGGAAATTACAAATCCCACCAAAAGTTAAATGCTTTTTCTGGAATTTGTGTACTTTACGTTTGCCTACTACCGATGCTTTAATGGTAAAACGTGTTCAGTGTGATCCTGTGTGTGGTCTATGTGGTATAGCTTATGAGAGTATTCTTCATGTGTTTGCTAATTGTGCTTTTGCTCATAAGTGCTGGACTGTGTTGAATGATCAGTGGAGGCTCGGACATGTGGAGTCTATTGATGAATGGTTAGAGGAGATGTGGGTATTCCCAGTAATTCAACTCCCATGGAATTACAATTCTTTTCCCACATAATTCCCCCCCTCCAACCAAACGCCCTGTTAGTTGTTTATTTTATTTTCGGTGATTGCATGTCTGTAGTTGACTTAAATATAGTATTTAAGATTTTTATTGATTCCATGAGTTATTTACCGTGTCTTTTTATATTGTTCGCCTATTTCACTGGTTTCAGTTGTGTTGCTTTGTGTTTTCTCATTCACTATTGTCTCTTCGTTATCTCTGTGTTTTTTTTCGGGGTTGGGGCTATGCATTATCCAGGTGTGTATTTTCGTTGTCTCCAATATATATTTATTGTGCACCGTTAATTGCTGTTTTTGTGCATATTTTTGTATTCCTGTATTAGTTATTTTGGTGTGTTATTGTTGGGGTTGCTATGGGTGCTGACTCTTCATTTTTCCTTATTTTTTATTCATCTCTGTACGTGTGGGTGTTATTGACCATCCGGTGTAGGTGTCGGTTTGTTCCAATTTATATTCTTTGTGCATCGTTGTTTTTTATTTTTTTTACATAGTTATGTATTTCTTTTTTAGTTTTTCGGTGTGTGTGTTGTGGGTTCATTTGGGTTTGGTGTTCTGATGCTTGCACTATTTAACTTCATCGTGTTGTATCCTATTGCTGATGTTTTTTTTAAATGTATTTATTTTTATGCTCTCTTTTTGCGCTTGGAAATTGTTTTTTATATACATATACGATGGGTATTTTTTTTTTTTGGGTAAAAATGTTTTTCGTGTGTGGCGTGTGTGTTGTTGTTTTTTTCTTTTGTTTTTTTAATTTTCATCTTTTTGCAATTTTTTGTTACTAGGTTGTTGATTTGAACAATTTCGTTGGTTATTAGTATTCATTTGTGTTTTGTTTTTCTTTTTTCTTGTTAAATACGTATATTGTGTTTGATATTGCTTTTTATATTGAAAATTCGGTTTCGTGTGTGTGTGTGGCGGGGGGGGGGGGGGGGTGGGCTTTAGTTTTTAATTAAGTTTTATCATTTTTTTTTTGTATTTGGTGCCATAGGGGATGTTTACGCAGTATGCTTCTATGGGAGTTTTCATTGTGCAAACAGTAGGTTATTTTTATTTATTATTATTATTTTTTGGTTTGTTGTGCATTTTTGTTACGTGGTTGTAGTCTTGTTTTGTACCTAGTTGGCTTTAGTTTTTATTTAGGATATTATCGTTTTCCTTTTATTATTTTTTTTTTGCATTTGGTGCTGTTAGGATTGCTTACGCAATGTGCATGCATGAGAGTTGTCATTGTGCAGACAGTTTGTTTGTTTTTTTTTTTTTTCCGGTATGGTGTGCATTTTTGTTACATGTTTATAGTCTTTTTTTGTACCTATTTGGCTTTAGTTTTGTTTTTAGGTTATTATCATTCTTTTTTTGCGTTTGTTGCTATAGTGGTTGGGTACGCAGTGTGCATGTATAAGCGTTTTCATTGTGCACACAGTTTGTTTTTTTTTTTCACTTTTTTTTTGGTATGTTGGGCATTTTATTCACATGTTTTTAATCATGTTTTTACCTAGTTTTTGTGGTTGATGCTTGTGCAGTTCGGTCGGGATCTCTACAGGCTTGTGTTATGGACGTGTCTCCCGATAGGACTAAGTTTTGGAATCCTTCGTGTGATGAGGCTATTAGGCCTTTTGAGGGTCAGGTTTTTCCTTCTCTTGGTCATGTCATTGCTTTCTATAGGCAGTATGCGTCTGTTGTTGGGTTTGACGTACGTCGTAATTCGGTGCGTAAGGATATGGACGGTGTTGTCGTAAAAAATCTGTTGGTTTGTTCCCGTGAGGGGTTCAAGCAGTCGGCTGATGTTTTGGTTGTTGGGGATGCAGATTCTGGTGAAGCGCGTTTGGCTCAAAAGCGTCGTCGTGTTTCTAATAGGGTGGGTTGTAAAGCGAGGTTGTTACTCAAGATGGTTGACAATAATTTTTTTATTGTTCATTTCATTGAACTCCGTCATAATCATTATTTGTGTTGAGCCATTAATGTGCAATCCAACTATCAGCTTAGGCTTTTAGTTGAGATGGAGCACATGTTTCAATTTGGTATCAGAGCCAGACCAAAAGTCATGGGTTCAAATCTCAACGCTTGCTTGAAACCCACCGCACACGTGAGTAGGCTTTTAGTTGAGATGGAGCACATGGTTCAATTGTTTGTGCTCGGATGTTGCTAAGCCTTTTCTTCGGGGTAACCGTAAGATGAGTTTTTAGCAACAAGTTTTTGTTGTTAATTGTGCAAGGGCAAACGTTGGGCCTAATAGGTCGTTTCGGTTGTCTAGGGAGTTTGTTGGGTCGTATTCTAATATTGGTGTGACATGTGTTGATTTTAAAAATTTTAAACGTGATTTGATGGCATATATTGGTAGTTCTGATGCTAATGTTGTTGTGAACAAGTATGTTAAGAAGGTTGATGCTTGCCCGGACTATTTCTTTGAATATGATTTGGATTCTGAAGATCAGTTACGGAGGTTGTTTTTGGTTGACCCTTTTGTGAAGCATAATTTTGCAGCTTTTGGTGATGTAGTGTCGTTTGATGCGACATATATATGGGACAAATAGGTATGCTTCGTATTTTTTTAACAAATATTTACGTAAGTTTGTTCAATTTTAATATGCTTTTAGTCTTTCTAGTTTTGTTTTTTATTGGTCTGCATGTTTTCTTTTTCTATAGATGGTGTTAAGCTTTTCATTTTTTATTTTTATATTTTTTTACAGGTATGGTATGGTGTTCGTCCCCTTTACTGGTGTCGATAATCACAAGAAAGGTGTGACTATTTGCAATTGGCTTGATTTCTCGCGAGGATATGGACTCTTATGTTTGGGTTTTACAATAGTTTAAGAGTGTAATGGGCCGTGTGCCTAGTTGTACTATCACTGATCAAGATCCATCGATGCGTATTGCGGTCCCACGGGTGTTTGATACTACTCGCCACAGGTTTTGTATGTGGCATATAATGTCAAAGGTTGGGGAGAAGGTGGGTAATGTTTTAGCTAATGACAAGGAGTTTCGATCTGCTTTGAATGATGTTATTTAGAATGAGATGTTGTCCGTGGAAAAGTTTGAGCACGGGTGGCTTGAGGTAATGGAAAAGTATAACCTCGTTGAGCACCGGTGGTTTCGTCTTATGTATGACTTGAGATCGTTTTGGATCCCTGTATTTTTTAATGATGTTTTCATGGGTGGTTTGATGCGCACAACATCTAGGTCAGAGGCTGCAAATAGTGTGTTTAGTAGTTTCACAAACCACCATGCTAGCCTGTCGGAGTTGTTCAACAATCTTGAAGGAGCTATTGATGCCCAACGTCAGGCGCGGGCCAAACTAAATGCGAATTGTGAGGGCAATTTTCCTTTGTGCAAGACATCATTGTTGATAGAGAGGCATGCAGCTGCAGTCTATACTATAAATGTCTTTTACGATATGCAAGCTGAGGTTGTTGCAAGTTCTTTTTCGTGTCGCTTGGTGAGTTCAAATGTTGATGGGATGGTAACCCGTTTTGAGGTTAAAGATGATGATGATTTGGTGCACATGGTGATGTTTGACTGCTCTATTACCAGTGTTGAGTACACGTGTAACTTGTTTACACGGAGGGGTTTACTTTGTCGTCATATTTTTTGGGTTTTCAAGGACCGTAGGGTTGATTCTATTCCCTCTCGGTACGTAGTTGCACGGTGGACTAGAGATGCTTGTGTTCGACAGTTGTTGGGCGTTCAACGTGGGGAGGCTGTAGATGGTGAGTAGGATGTCTTTCATGTACTGCATTCGCAATGCCTCTATTACGGATTTGTCTCCTTTCCTTAGGCCACACTCCCACGTTTTTGCTTTTTGTCCTAGGAATGTCTCCATGTGCTTCATTGCATACACCCCACTATCCATATTTTCCTTTGCATCTCTCCATCGCATTTGCATTCTTTTTTGCTCCATTTGTAGTATTTCAGCTCCCTTCTTGTGGTCTTTTGTATCATCTAGGAAACAACCTAGCATGTCTTTCTGTTGACATAAAATAGCAGTAGTTAGTAACTGAGATTCGGTCACCGTCTTTCATTATGTATAACAGTAGGCACGCTCTAATTTCTGGTCACGGTCCTTATCATGCTCTGTAATGCACATTACATGGTATCTTAAATGCAAAATATTTACTCCTGCAAATGCACATTATATTACTACGTATGTGCACTTTTTTTACCCCACATCTTCAATGTATATTCCAAACCTTATACACACCAACCATTACTCTTTCACCAAACAGTTATGCAGTTTATTACATTACAGCATTGCACAGTACGTTTATCTTTTTTTTTTTTTTTCATTTTGTAACTCAACTATTTATACAAACATATAATGCGAGGTCCTTACCAAATCGTTAGGGATTGTGCCGTATATTTCGTCTTTGTTTCTTGCTGATGAATTGTCTATGATTTGCATGCTTTTTCCTCTCACATCGGCGAAGATGATGTAGTAGTGAGACTTGTTTAGAATTGGGAAGATGAACTGCGTTTCAAATTGAACTCAATGGCTTAGCAAAATATTTTCTTCAGAAAAAAACAAATGAAATTTAACACCTCTTACACGTATTTGTCTTACTATTACATACCAAGTCAATCTCGGACCATGACGTGTATGGGCTCGACACGAACTCACTCTTCATATTCTTTTTAAATTGCTTGAGTCGAAGTGCTCGGGTCCGTGCGTATTCCACCACCGTATGCATCTGCACATTCGTAGATATTCATATTACATCCATACAATATTATTAATACTTTTGCATTTCAACATTTCCTTTATTTTAAGTTCGTATACAATGACTTTTGTTCATGCAAAGAACCTTGAGGGCTGGGTGGTTGGTTTTTTGCGTTTTTTATCGTTTAGAATGCATGCCCAGATGTCAATCACTGCCGCATTCACTTCTTTGTCCATGCCCAGGGTGATCATGTCCGACCTTAATGCACACTGTCCATTGAAGTAGAACAACTCCTCGTTCTTAGTTATCACCAACACATGTCAAATATAATTAAAGTCATTACCCAAACTGTTATATTGTATTTATATTTAATTGTTTTTACAAATCAGCGTTGTCAGATTGTGTGAGCCAGGTTTTCACGTCCTTTCGGTGAGTACCACTTTGCAAGTTCTCTTCGCCCAACACGAATCTTCTCGGCAGGCGTAACAGGGTTTTGTGGTGTCATAGAAGCTTGGCCTTCTCTTCTTGGGGCTTTGATTGGTGCTTTTTCAAATTGTCTTCTTTCCCCTCCTTCTTTCGCTCCATTAGGGTTTATCAATGCCTGCACAATATCTTTTCAAATATATATTTCCTTTTTTGCAGAGTTTGTTTTAAATATGCCAACTCTTTTAAGCGATTTACTGCATGGTATCTAACGTCACATATGTTTCACAGGATATGCAAATTCCATTGTTTCCCCATGTATTTCTATTATAACAATCAGTAACGCATTTTAAGAAATCATAACACTGCACATTTTCTTTCGCTATATTAGTATCTCAAATGTAACTACTCTCTATTTTAGTATGCAACATACCTCAGTAGGTGTGACAAATGTCTCTTCCTGCAGGTTTCTTGTTGTTTCGCTTTCGGTGCCTTCAACCTCTGGTAGGCCACCATCTTCGCCTGCATCATCGGTGTGCGTCTCCTGCTCGCACTGCGTCCTCCAGCATTAAAAACAATTTTCTAACCCAATGTTTTAAATCAAGTATATACATGTTTGATATAACAAATATGACATCTTTTTATTTCCCATGTTTACTTACAAAATCAACGGCTACCATAGCTTCAAGTCCCTGCTTAAGTTGTTCAGCTCTTGTGTTAATCCTAAACTAAAGGATGGAAATCCAGTGTCTGTCTCGTTTTCTTGCATATTTCTTGCTCTCTCATCTTCTTCGTTACTCTCTGATCCGGTGCTCAATGAATCTTCTTCATTTTCAACTTCGTTTAGATTTGGAATGTTTGTGCACTCTGACTTTGCTGCAATGTATCGCTGCTCTATTCTTAGCAGCATTTTGGCTGCCCCCACTAGCTCTTCAAATGTCTCATGTCCTATTGTGCACTGACCTACTTCATCCGCCAGTTTAGTCAAATTGTTGATGTTGTTTACGACTATTTTTGTCTCCTTTGCAAACCGGACCTCCATTTCCTGCAATTATTTAATACACGCACTCACTATTACCAAGCGGAATGCAATATTATTCTTTTTATCTAAATTTATTCCCTGAAATTTAATAAGTGTAGCTTGTGAAATTGCATGCACTTTATATTTTTTTACTTTCGAATTATAAATTCTAATTTAATTTTCCTAATTTTTACCTTAACTGGATCATCTTCTTCGTCTTCGTGGTTTCCTTCCATATCTTCCTCATCATCACCATCGCCTCCAACCTAGTGTCATTAAGCATGCAATATACTCTTTACTTTCCACTTTTACTTGACCGTGCACAGTCATCTTTCTACACTGTGCAACCAGAAGCAATATAAAAATTGGACATGTAATTTAATTTTGCAAACTGTGAATTTTTTCCTTACAAGAATACATTCTTCGATGTTTACTTTGATTTGCACAGTAGGTAGTTGTTCAGTTGCATATTCTACTTCAAATACGTTTACGTGTTCACATTCTAATCATTAGTAATAATATTCTGACTTTTTACCTGCACTGGATCCTCTTCCGCATCTTCTTCGTTTGCTTCCATATCTTCCTCATCCGCAGCCTCGCCCCCATCCTAGTTTCATCAAGTTTGTAACACAATCTTACGTTTTATGTATTACTTAACTGTGCACAGTTAACTATATAAATTGTGCAACCAAAACCATTTTGTTTTTCTATAAAAAAAAAAAAAAAAAAAAAAAAAAAAAAAAAAAAAAAAAAAAACAGCAATGCTCACCTCATTCATATCCTCCTGCATGTCCAAGGGCTGTTCAATGTTCCCTAAACCACCTTTTTTAATTTCTGCAAATTCTTGCTCGTTTAACAACTTCGTTGTCCAACCTTTGAACGACGACCTTTGCCGCTCCACATATCGAATGGGGATGACAACCCTATCTACATATAGCATCTGTAATACCATATTACTTTGTGTTTAGTCAAATAGAGTACGCATGTAATGGGGACTGTTTTCACAAATGATCAAAAGTACATAGCTATGAAACCATTTAAACTTAGAAGCTTACCGTTATAAACAATAGCAGTCCAGCAAATACCTTCTTCTTTGGAGCCCACTTTCCGTGGCATTCTACAAGTTCGTCAATAACAAACTTGCACCAATTAAAATCTCTAATCTTGGTCACATCTTTCAGTTCGTGTAGGATGTCTTGATTGGCATAGCCATTTGATTGGATGCATATCAGCACACTAGCCACCAATACTATGAAGTGTCTCCTAAACCACTCTCCATCGTCATTTTCCTTTCGTAACTTCATAGCAATCATGTACGGTGTAACTTTATGGTCTGCCTTGTTGAATTTTGCTCTCCATGAGTCTAGTTCCTTGCATTGTGTATTCCTACCTCTTTTTTTAATCACCCTTTCTCCTCGTGGGAATCCTAGGACTCTTTGCACATCTTCCTCTCTAATCTCCAACATCCGGCCTTGTCCTAAGTTAACAGTTTTCGTGGCCAAATTTGCTCAACAACCAATTTCTCATTCTAAGTGGTGTGTCTTCCACTTGTAGCTCTAGCAAACCTCCAAAACCAATTTCCCTTACTGCGTTTCGTTGGAGGGAACCGAATTTCTTCATTGGGTGGACTAGATTCCTAGCAGATGCACGTATGTTGAATGTTAGGAACCTTTGCTCCTCTTTAGGTAGCAACTCGTATTCATACTCTTTATTTGTTTCCGTCCTTTCTTGTCTATGTGTTTACACCGGTGGACTAACAAAGTCATCATCGGGGTCTGGGTCCATGACTATTGCCCTATAGTTGTTCGTAGTTTTCGCTTTCTTGCCTGGAAAATGTTATCACAAACATTACAAACACTAGACTATTTTAATTTCTATCTTACATGCACAAAAAAACAACTCATTGTTACACAAATACATTTTCACCACAATACATTCTAATTTGGTGATGGGTGGTCATTATTAAATTCTATTGCAGATCCAACATATTTCTTACATTCATGTGCACACTAATACACTATAATAAATTACAATCTAAATATGTACTATATCTGCACCACTAACAACTAGTATAAATGCACATTCTTTCATGCCCCACCTAACACTTTCACCATACCATATTTGATTCTAACCTTTTACAATGCAGTATTCAATACAAGTTTGCTTTTCGTGGTCCCCTCCATTTTTTTTATTCAACTGCTTACTCTGGCAACAAATTCAGTAGTAAACAAACTATCTAGAATCATGTTTAATAATATATGCAAACCTAACTCTCTACATATGTCATTTTGTGGTCTACCTTATCTTTTTCCCCACTTTGTGCAGTCCTCTTTTAAAGGTTGTTTGTTTGTCTTTTACGGTGTCTTCTATTCATGTCGTACATCATTATCATTTTTGCACTTTTTATAAATCTATAACTTTCTATACATTCACTTTTGTAGTTGAGCATACTGTCTATCCCAACTCTCGCACAACTCTGTAATTCTCTGCCAGTGCTATTACACTCTCTCACGCCATCACCCTCCTTCCACAAATACCCACCACTGTGTTGTGCTTTCACATTCAACGATTAAAGAAATCCCCCAATTTTAATTTATAAAACCTACCCATTTTGAA